CGGAGCAGGTGTGGGTACTGTCAAAACCACACCCAACCTTCAGATTACCGGTGGGGATGGGCATCGGATAAAGTGCCACATATAGTTCTTGACTCAGAGAGGGACAGAGACAGTGCCAATTCGGCCCTCATGTACATGCAAACTGGTAAAATGCTCTCAAGGGGACAATATAAATTGCTTCCTGTGTCGTGCGTTTGACTGACGTCTTTCTCACTGACTTGACGCTGGCCACGTGAAGGAGCGGTCAGACTGTGAATACGCCCAGATAGTGGAAAAAAGTCTTGGGTGTCGAAAAGAGGGGAAGTCTAACTTTGAGTTTTTACTCAGACCGCTTCAGAAGGCATTCGCTCCTCCAGACTGAAGTATCTGGTGAAACTATGTGATCTTCAATAATCAGACAAGTACAGCTTCTGAAACTGTTACTCCAGTTGACGACTCAGTCTGACCGGGAGGACTTTTTTAGATTCGGTGGCGTGACGAGAAAAATTAGAAAAACACTGTCCGGAGAATTTTCTAAATAAAACTAACATGGCAGGTCCGCTTCTGTTCTTAGACGTCCTCCTAAGCCGAAGGCCTGACGGTAGCTTCCAGAGGAGCGTTTGTCGAAAGAAAACCTGATCTGGCCAGCAGTTAGAAGTTTCGTACCCATCCATTATGAGCGAGATCTATTCCACTGTCTAGTGCAAAGGGCTAGAAACATTTGCTCGGCAGACAGGATTGAGGAGAAACTTAATACAATTTAGGACCTGTTTCGTGAGAACGGATATCTTGAGTGATTTATTACAAGGAATACGGTTGCGAAGCAAATAAAACCCCCAACACTCATTGTGGAAACGAAAACGCTATTCCTCAAAGCCCGTTTTCAAGGAATGCGACAAGTGAACTCCTAAGAAGACGTCTTGACCAAACCATATCACCAAACAATCCCAGCACCGAGAGTGCGGGTATTATTCTCAACCAACCCGGTCCTGCGCGGGGAAGGTGAGGAAAGGTTGCCTGCTCAGACCATTTCCATGTGTTTCCACTTGCTAATATGAAGCAGTTTAAATTGATTGCATGGGTCGGTGACTACTAAAAAGAATACGGGAACACTCTCCGGCATGACTGCGAATAGGTGAAGTCGGGAGCATAAACGGCGCCATTCTATCGCACATTGTGGATTTCGGATATCGTGCGGACCCCAACGAAGCCTTTCGAGTGATTTATAAGGTCACACCTATCTACCCCAAGTCCCTGTGTCAGCGCCTGTTAGTAAAGCAGATGCGACCGCTACCAGGTTATGAAAGCCGGTCTTGTGTTCACAAAATAATCTATAGCAAGCTCCGCGCCTAGCATGTCCAACAGTCGCTCAACTGCACTTTTCTGCGCTCTCTTTTCCCACTTTCCCCTGAACTGCCTCCATCAAATTCACCCCGCTGCGTAACCGGCCTTCCCTGATCAATCCTGTCCCTCATTCTCACGACTCACTTTTATGATAAGACGAATATTATTGAACGCCTATTTACCTTTGACCCTGTTCTCATACAAATGTACCGGTCCGATGAGAAGTTACCAAAAGCTTACGTATGCTCGTCAACTGCTATTCTAAAAACAAGATAGTTTAAGTTTGGCGGAGTCGCTGGCGTCTTAAGCGATCAGAATGGTGTTTGGACTCCAACCATTTTGATTAGACTCATTGTTGAGGCTTGCAAAACATT